TCTTTTTTGGCTCCACAAATACCTTTGCAGCAGAGTTGATATAGTCTGAATGTTTGTCCTCTCCAAATTTCATGTTGAAATGTATTCCCAATGTTGGAGATGGGGCCTGATGGGAAGTGACTGGACTGTGGGGTGGATCCCTCATGGATGGCTTAGCACCATACCCTTGGTGATGAGTGAGTTCTTGCTCAATTCACATGAGATCTAATTGTTTAAAAGAGTCTGATACCTTGCTTTTCTCTCTCTTGCTCCTTGTCTCACCATATGGCATGACAACTTTCTTTCCACCACAATTGTAAGCTTCCTGAGGCCGTCACCAGAAGCAGATGCTGCAGCCATATTTGTGCAGCCTGCAGAACTGTGAGCCAATTAAACTTTTTTTATTTATAAACTACTCAGTCTCAGGAATTCCTTTATAGTGACACAAAAACGACCTAACACAGAAAGTTGATGCCAAGATGTGAAGCATTCTGTACAGATACCTGAAGATGTGGAAGTGGCTCTGGAACTTGGTAAGGGGCAGAGGTTATAAGAGTATGGAGGGCTCAGAAGAAGACAGGAAGGGAAGATGAGGGAAAGTTTGGAATTTCTTGGAGACTGGCTAAATGGTTGTGGCCAAAATGCGGATAGAGATATGGACAGTGAAGGCCAGGCTGATGAGGTCTCAAATGGAAATGAGAAAGTTACTGGGAATTGGAGTGAAGATCACCCCTGTTATGCCCTAGCAAAGAACTTAGCTGCACTGTGTCCATGTCCGAGGAATCTGTGGAAGTTTGGACTTAAGAGTGATGACTTAGAGTATCTGGCAGAAGAAATTTCTAAACATCTAAGCATTCAAAAAGTGACACGACTGCTTCTAACAGGCTATTATCAGATGTGGTAGCAAAGGAATAAAGTTGGAACTTATATTTAAAAAGGAAGTAGAGCATAAAAGTTTGAAACATTTGCAGCCTGGCCCTGTGGCAGAGAAAGAATTTAAGCAGGCTGTGGAGCAATCACTTGCTAGAGAGATTAACTTGACTAAAAGACAGCCAAGTGCTATTATCCAAGACAATGGGAATAAGGCCTCAAAGGCATTTCAGAAGTTTTTCAGATAGCCCCTGCAATTACAGGCCCATAGGCCTAGGAGGAATGAATGATTTCAGGGAGCAAGCCCAGGGCCCCACCACCCTGTTCAGCCTCAAGACACTGCTCGCTGTATCTAAGCTGCCCTGGCTCCAGCCTTGGTTCAGAGAGGCCCAGGTACAGGTTGGGCTGCAGCTCCAGAGTGTGCAAGCTGTCAGCCTTGGTGGCTTCCACAGGGTGTTAAGTCTGCAGACGCTCAGAATGCAAGTATGAAGGAGGCTTGACAGCTTCCACCTGGATATCAGGGGATATATGAAGAAGCCTGGGTACCCAGGCAGAAGACTGCTACAGGGGTGGAACACTCACAGATAAACTCTACTATGGTAATGCTGAGGGGCAGTGTGGGGTTGGAGCCCCCACAGGGTCTCCCCTGGGGCACTGCCTCGTGGAGCTGTGGGAAGAGGCCGTCACCCTCCAGACTCCAGAACGGTAGATTCACCAGCAGCTCGCACTCCCTGCCTGGAAAAGCTGCAAGCACTCAACTTCAACCCATGACAACCGCCATGTGGGCTGCACCCTGCAAAGCCACGGAGGCGAAGCTGCCCAAGACCTTGGGAGTCCACCCCTTGCACCAGTGTGCTCTGGATGCAGGACATGGAGTCAAGTATTATGTTGGAACTTTAAGATTTAATGCCTGGCCTGCTGCATTTCAAACTTGCATGGGGCCTATTACTCCTTTCTTTTGGCCAATTTCTTCCTTTTGGAATGGGAATGTTTCCCCCGTGCCTGCACTGCCATTGTATCTAGGAAGTAAATAACTTGTTTTTTATTTTGCAGGAGCAGAGGTGGAAGGAATTTGGCCTTGAATTTCAGATAAGACTTTGGACTTTGGGATTTTTGAGTTAAGGCTGGAATGAATTAAGACTTTGGGGACTATTGCAAAGGCATGATTATATTTTGAAATGTCAGAGGGATGTGAGATTTGGGAGGCTAAGGGTGGAGTGATATGATTTGGATGTTTGTCTCCTCCAAATCTCATGTTGAAATGTGATTCCCAATAATGGAGATGGGGCCTGGTGGGAAGTGATTGGATTGTGGGGGTGGATCCCTCATGGTTGGCTTAGCACCATCCCCTTCATGATGAGTGAGTTCTTGCTCAGTTACTTCACATGAGATCTAGTTGTTTAAAAGAGTCTGTCCAGGACCTCCCCCTTGTCTCCTTTATTGCCTCTCTTGCCATGTGACATGCTGGTTCCCCTTCCCTTCCACTATGATTGTAAGCTCCCTGATGCTCTCACCAGAAGCAGATGTTAGAGCCATGCTTGTATAGTCTGCAGAACTGTGAGTCAATTAAAACTCTTTTCTTTATAAATTACCTAGTATTTTTCTGTTACAATGCAAGAAAGGCCTAAAACAAGAATATCATTCAACATGACGGTTAAATGCAAGTTCATGCAATTCCCCAGACATCTGTAGAGACTAGAACGTCACACAAGTTTTTGTTTATCTGTTTGTTTTTCAGAGACAGGGTCTCACTCTTTCACCCAAGCTGAAGTGCAGTGACATGATGACAGCTCATTACAGTCTCGAATTCCTGGGTTCAAGCGATCCTCCTGCTTCTGCCTCTGGAGTAGCTAGGACTACAGGCATGTGTCTCTAAGGCTCGGCTAATTATTATTGTTGTTGTTATTATTATTATTATGTGAAGACAGGGTCTCGCTATGTTGCTCAGGCTGCTCTTGAATTCTTGGCCTCAAGCAATCCTCCTGCCTCGGCCTCCCAAAGCATTGGAATTACAGGCATGAGCCACTGTGCTTGGCCTAAACAAATTTCTAAATCAGTTCTGCGGGCACAAGACTAAGTGAGATCCCTGAATCAGCACAGACTTCTTTTTGGCACAATTTTCAATCACCTTGGTTACTTCTGTCACATGCCATTTGGTTTCAGGAGTGCTAGCAAAATAAAACCACAGAAAAATTTCTAGCATGTGGAAATGGTTACACAATGCATATCCTAGTATATAGTAACATATCTTTAATTGTGATCCAGTCAGAAATTTGGTTCCGTTTAATTTTCCCCTGGCTCTTGTTAGAAATATTTCTAAATGTATTAATGCAGTTTCCTTCCTTAGCAGATCTGAATTCAGACCAAAATCCAATTTTATCTTTATCTCAGTTCATCTATTGTCACACAGTATGATGACACCTTTCTGAACTCTCTTACAGCAATGTTTCTTAAAGGATGCTCTTCCAGACTTAATTTGAATTAGGATTCTAGGTCCAGAATTAAGGACTCATTCACAGTTATGATGTAATTAAGGCAACAATAGCATTTTGTAAAAATAATCTATTAAAAATATGGTACCAGCTACCCTTTATTGTTATTAGGTTATGTTAGAATTAGAATTTAACTTAACAATTCTTTACTTAGTTCAGTGGAATACAGCAGTATTTCAGTGTGCTACAAAAAACATTATGACTTCCATGTATTGCATTAACTGGCAAGTTTAAAAATTAACTTCACTGTTATCTTGTTTTCCAAAACCAAAACCTAGGAACAAGTGGTGTGACAAAAGATTTTCTGATCTGTGAATTTATTTAAGTCTTTGAAAGGCAACAAAACTAAATCACCTACTCCTCTCAGGACCAGTTCCCAAGTCATCACGTCCTGCTCCTGTAGATCAAGAAAGATTTGGGCCCACTTCTCTATCTTGGGACTTCTGGTACATGAAAACTAATGTGGAAACAGGTTACAAAAACTATCATATTATATTTTGAAAATTTACATCTAACACACACCATGCAATGTAGTTTTGCTACTCAAAAGTAAATTACAAGATTTATAAAAATACATTAATTCTTAGAGCAACCACTGGCCAGGAGGTCCAGAAACTCGAAACAATTCAGTACTGTAATGCCTTTTATTGGAACCTGAAGATGTACCTCTGTGTCTATACTTATAACTTCAATTAGACAGAAAGTCAACCGGGAGGCCCTTTCTGAAAGTGAAGCCCAAAAACCCTCACATCCACTTCCCCATCTAAGCCGCAGTGACCACTCTCCAACATAATCCCTCAACTATAGCTGGATGGAGTTCTTGTTTACACTCCCTGGCATCTCCATCCTTTAATTTTTACAACTTCCCCGCAACTGGATTGCATTCCGTGTTTCAAAGGCTGATTCAAACTCCACGTCTTCCAGGAAGTTTTTTCTAACTCTGTCTCTTGATCTCCAACAGCACTTGTAGTTCGTAATGTGAATTTTGTTCATTACATTCTACCTTGCAAGTTCATCTTTCTGCTTATCCTAATGTGAAGACCAGGACTAGGGCAAGGTGTTCAGCACACACAGTAGGCACTGCATTAATAATATACCGACCCGTATTTGATACAAATCAAACACTGCTCTCGAGTGATTTTCTTTTTTTTTTTTTTTTTTTTTTTTGAGACAGAGTCTCGCTCCGTCACCCAGGCTGGAGTGCAGTGCCCGGATCTCGGCTCACTGCAAGCTCCGCCTCCCGGGTTTACGCCATTCTCCTGCCTCAGCCTCCCGAGTAGCTGGGACTACAGGCGCCCGCCACCTCGCCCGGCTATTTTTTTTGTATTTTTTAGTAGAGACGGGGGTTTCACCGTGTTAGCCAGGATGGTCTCGATCTCCTGACCTCGTGATCCGCCCGTCTCAACCTCCCAAAGTGCTGGGATTACAGGCTTGAGCCACCGCACCCGCCTCGAGTGATTTTCAATTGTACTCATTCTCAAATTGGCTAACGAACGGGTCGGCCAGGCCCCCGGACTACAAGTCCCAGCGGCCTGCGCGGACCCGGCTCCCGTAATCCCAGCCCAGCTGGTTCTCCCCATGGAGCAGAGCTCCACAAAAGTGCGGGAATGTCTGACAGGGAAGAATCAGAGAAGCCTTCACCAGCAGCCCGACATTCACCTGGACGCACAGTGCACTTTTCTTAACGTCTGGGCAGCGAAGGCAGGGCACACCATCTACCGCAGGCTAGGACGATCACCAACCGCCCCACCGCACCCTGCGCCCGCCCCACGGCACCCGCCGGCTGCAAGTCACGGCGACCCAGGAGCATGCGTGCTGCGACCCCTGGTCTGCCAGCAGGAGCGGAGCGCGCGCCCGCGGGAATCTTTGGTGCGCCAAGTCTGTTCGCCGCCCGGGTCTATCACCCCCGCCCCTCGCCTCTGCCCGCGCGCGTGTGAGTTGTAGCGTCCCCTGGGTTCTGTTCTGGAGGAGGCCTGAGAGCGGGGTTGCCTGAGGCGTGGGGCCCTCACCCCTCTCGTCGTGGTGAAGAGGCGTATACCCAGCGGGTGAGTACCGGCCGCGAGCTCCCGGTTGAGCGGGCGTCCCCTGGGAGGACGCTGCGGTGCGCCGCCGTGGGAAGAGCGTGGAGGACGCAGCGTGGAGGCGCGAGGCCGTAGGACGCCAACCAGCCAGTTGCGCGGGTTGCGGCGCACTGGGGGCTACTTTATGCTTGCCGTCGTCCCTGCCTTGCTAGGAAAAGAGGTGAGCTTTGACTTCGGGTGATTCCTTTGTGACTTACAAAAGAGCCCCCTAAATAAGCAAGCGGTTCCTTTTATTTCCAGAGCTTGCTGTTAGCCTACTAATGTACTATGTTTAAAGTATTAAAATAGGGCATGCCAGACACGCTCACCCACGTGTCGTCATTCATTGCTTAATAAACAGAGTATAGCCCTCGTTGTTTTTCTTTTTCCCATTGCCTCGCTCCGAGTTAGAATAACGAGATAAACTAAACGTGATGCGGTTGGGAACTTGTTCAGGGAATCCGGCTGGGACGAACTTCGGAAACTTGCTAGTGTGGAGAGCCGCACAGTGGTGGTTGGTATGCTTTCACTCATTCGAGCCTTCCACGGTGTTTAACTGCGTTCTGTGTCAGGCATTGTGCCCCAGCAGTCGTCCTGTGTAAGCCTTCCATGCGTTTTTAAGCTTTGCTCTTATTTTCTTTCTAAATGTACATGTTAATAACAGGGAATAAACTATTAACATCTTTATTCTGATCCTCATTAATTGACTACATTTCTTAGAATTGTCTTTATTTTTTAATAGTGTAGTGACCAGAACTAGTCGCTAGTGTTCAACCTTAGTAAGCAAAATAAAGTCCCAGTGTTTCTGACAGCTTGGCACTGAAACAATATTAGAGTTTCATTTGAGACCATAAATCCCACCCTCCCTATAGTTTCTGTCATACTTGGTAACCACCCAGATAATTTATCCCTTCTCGCAGCATCATTCCCACACCTTCTCCATCTGCTAATCATCTCACTATCCGCCTTCGTCTGGAAACTGGAAACTCTTTCTCTAGACTCCCCATATGTAAACCCCTCTATATCTTTATATCTTCTTGTTCACAGAACATTCCTCCTTGTGATATTGGGTACCTGGCTCTCGCCCGAAGACGCTGCTTTCCCAGCAATTCACCACAGCGAAAGTCTGCCACCGCCCCCGCGCCGCAGGTGGTATCTGTATTTGCAGTCTTATGGCCATTGCTAGGCCATTCCATTCCACCCTTGTAAACCTTAGCAGAAACTCTTCTCAAATGAGCCCTTTTCCCTCTCCTCACTGTTATTTACCAGCTGCCTGGTCACTCATGTTCATTAAGGAATTTAGTACCCAACTCAGTTTGTTTTTTTTTTTTTTTTTTTGAGACAGAGTCTCACTCTGTCGCCCAGGCTGGAGTGCAGTGGCCGGATCTCTTGCCGCAACCTCCACCTCCCAGTTTATCCTGTAATGACAGTAGCATTTACAGAAAGTTTCTGCTGGAAATAGAAAAAAAAAAACAGGGAAAAT